AGTGATGTAGCAATTATAGAAATTAAACGGTTTTGTTATATCAAAAATCTAGACCTTTGGGGGGGGGATTGCCCTCGTAATATACCTTTAAAAATCTATTTAAGAATGGAAGAAGATATATTACTCAAAGCAAAAAAGAAAATTTTAAAATTAAGGATTTAATAACTGGAATTATTTACTTCTGAAGTTTTCACAATTGTAAAAGCAGTTACAATAATCAAAATTGATAAAGCAAGTGATAATTTCCATATTTTATAAAAAAAAAAAAAAATTCTACGAATCTATAATTGAAAATGAACTGAAAACTTCTTCTACCTTTAGTATCTGCAAAAATAAATAAAGAACTGTTATTAACAAAATTTCTGCTTTTCACAAAACATGGAAAATTTCTCTTTTCGCTACAAATTACCTTACCAAAATTTCATAAAACTCCTGTCAAATAAAAGTCCTGTCCTTTCATAAAACTCCTGTCTACTGTTACCAAAATTTCATTGTCAAATTTCAGCCAATAGTACTAGAAACTTCAAAAAAAATTTTGATAATATTTTAATAGCTACTTAGAATTATTATAGTTTGAACAATTTAAAGCTGGCAAAAAACTTCTGCTGATTATTTAGACAATTTGAAAATCATTGAAGAAGTTAGAAATCTTAAAATTTACAATATTAATGACTTTGAAAACCTCTACATCTCTACCATTCAATGAAATCTATGAAAGTCTTTTAGAAATGACAAAATTTTTTCCTGAAATACTTAATATTCTGGATTTACAAAAATGGAAAGAATTTCTACATTTTTTGCTATACAATAACTATTTTAAACATTCAAATTTCTTTACCTGCAAACACAAGGATTTCCAATGGGAAGTTCATATTCAACTCATCTCTGTAACTTATTTCTATTTTCTAAAGAATTCAAATTCCTAAAAAGCCTTTCTGATAACGATTTCAGTAATTTGAAAAACTAGAGATATTTTGATGACATTATTACTTTAAACAATTTATCTATAGAATAGAGCATTACCAAGTTGTTAAAATAATAAGACCAATGAAAACAAACAGAAATAGTTAGTACTATTCCGTTTAGGATCGTAAATAGCCCAAACTATTGTTGATGAAAGTATGCCCAAACATAATTGCAGCAACAATTTTGATTTAATTTCATATAATACTTTTTTATTATTATAATTTATATAAAAAAGGGTGTAAACATAACTGAATGAAGCATAAAAGTAAATAAACTATTTCAGATCATAATTATAATTTTATATATAAAAAAAAAAGGCTAAACAATACTGATGATTCCTGCATCGCTATTTCGCTACTGAGTTATCGCTAAAGCAGAGTCACTTGTTGGTTGTTCAAAAACAATTTTCTATAATGAATGATGCCTTTTCTTTGAAAAAATTCTATTGCAGACTTTTCGTCACTGGACAACTCCTAAATTGTTAAATCCACAGTGTTATTGAAAAAGGATTTAAAAATTAAACTAGTATTGCATTGGCGTCTTAAGAAATATAAAACTATCTAAACTTATGCAATTTGAAAGCAGCAAATACGCTAGATTTGGTGGCATGTTAAATGGACGCATTTCATAGATTTGGTGCTTTCGCGCATACATTTTCGCTGCAATTTTTTTACGGTCCTCAAAACGGAATAGTACCAATAGTTTTTCTTGATCTAAGTATTCATAATCTTAAAGAAATTAAACTTTTTGATAAAAGAAAAGAATTTAATTGTTCTACTATTAAACTTATAAATTGGAACTCCAACATATCTAAAAAAGTTATTGCATATACTATTATTACCCAAATTAGCAGAATTTAAAAAGTTTACACTGAAATAGAAAAACAAAAAGAAGAAATTCTAATTCTCACAAAAATTTTAAAAGAAAATAGAATTTCTATACAATTCATTAAAAGTCTTTCAAAAAAATCTGGAGTAATCTACACCTTATAATACTTTTTAAAAATATGAATTTTTTTGTCTGAAAGCCCCAAAAGAAAAGAATAAAGAAAGATGATTTAAAGGGTTTATAGGTTTTTATTTTATTTTTCCTCTTAATCACTATTTTATTATTCAAACAAGGGTCTTCTACATTCAAAGTTGTCATGGTAAGCCCATAACATGAAAACCTTTTACTTTTCTAACAAGAGTTCCTTTACTTCTTTTTCAAGCTTTCTTTTCTGCTTTTTTCTGTAATTTTAAATTTAAAAAAAAAAAAAAAAAAAAATTAAATAAAATTCAACATTACAGATTTTTCTACAAAACAATTTTATAAAACTTCCTGAGCACCCCTTAGTAGTTAAAGTTTTAAACTGAATGGCATTCTTTATTCCTTTTTTGTTTTAAAAAAAGGTGAGAATTTACTTAAATTTCCTTTTAATTAGTAAAGTAATCTTTTTCTTTTTCAAAATTTATATTTTAAATTAAAATATTAATAGAAGTTTTAAAAAGTTTTTGTTTTGGTTTCAAAATTCTATTTTTTGTTCCAATTTTTAGCTTTTTGAGGGATTACTTTCTCGCCACTGTGTTTTAGTTTGCCAATGAAGCCAAACTGGCAAACCGAAACTTCACTACTATAATGATCTTATTCAGAGTTTCGAGTATGTTCCAATTGTAAGTGCTTGAAATTTTTTATTACTCCTTAGTTTCTATTCAAGTCTATTTACTAATTTATAATTTCAGTTACATTTTCAATTCTTTGCATTATGTGATCTTTGTTAAAAGGTAAAATTTTGATTTAAATTTTTCACTAAACTATTTTATTATTTCACTTATGTTTTCAATTCTTTGAATAGAGGTCTCGCCATTTAAAGGGAAAAAAATTTAATTAGAATTTACTTTGATTTTCCCCTTGCTTTCGGGAGGGGCCAGAATTTTCGGATGAACTGTTATAATTAAAATAGATTGAAGGGGTTCATAGGCTAATTCTGGATACAGAAAAGCAAGGATTTTTGTGGAAGAGAGATTTCAATTGATTTCAATGTTCCTCTTCCTGATGAAGTAGCATTGAAGTTGATTGAATTGATCTTCTATTATGTTCCTTTTTCTTTAAATTTCATTGATTTTTTTTTAATTGGGGTATTGGTTGTTTGAGGTGTTTTCGCTTAAACATTTATTAAATTCTTTTTTGCATTTATAGGATTATTTGAAATTTATTACTTATAAATTTCAGTTTTTGGTCTTTGTGGAAAATTGGTTCCAAATGTCTTACTTTATGTCTTTACTGATAACTTTTCAGCTGCTTAATGCATGAAAATACTAGGCATGATTATATATTGTATTTAAAAAAAAAAAAAAAAACACTGTTTTGTAATTATATACAGTAAGAGTAGAAAATACATCAACAAGCAATTGTAAAAATACATCAACGAATAAGGTAAGCTATCTAACAGAATGGCACAAATCAAATGCAATTTGAAGCAAAAATTTGGAAAACAAACCTGAAATGAAAGTAAATTAAAAAATTAAATAAAAAATAAGGGATACAGGACAGCGCTTACTGCAGAGAATTTGTTATTCAAAGAAGAAAAATTAGTTAAAAAAATAATTTAAAAAAATCTGATAAGTTTCAGATTTTATATTACACACAGAGGGGCTTTTTTTTTTTAATGTTTTGTATGTTACCTTTATATTAAATATGTTGGTTGATCTTTACATTATGGTAACTTGGCATTTTTTTGGCGAAAATTTGGCGACCAACTCTCCTACAACAACCCTCTATTTTTTTTTTCCCCGCCGCCATTTTGTCTTCACGAAGTAAAGACATGTTTCTTTTCTTTTATCTACTGAACACTTCTTCCAACAATCTACTAGCCGAATTACACTTATGCTAGAAATTTTATCTAAAAAACTGCTTAATCATGACACAAATATTCACTGCAAAATTGGGAAAAAGTGCACAATACCATACTCCTTACACGTTTTTCAAAATAACACATACACATAAACCATGTACACGCCGACTTATTTTTACTTAAAAAAACATTCCAGAATTGCACAAAAATGGCATTGCGCACACTCTTCACTATATCCATGTACTCTGCTTTTTTTCTCATAAATTAGAAAAATTTCACGAAAATACATGACAATTTTCTCAATCTTTAAACTCGGTAAAAAGAACATATATGAAATTACCTGATCGCGAAAAAGTATTTACCCTTTCCAAATATGAACATTTCCACATATAAAATAAATAAAATATCCAAAAACTTTTACCTCTAAATCATCTATTATATATTATAAACGTCACCAACGAATTCATACATGAAGCATTACAAATATTTATTATCAAATATTTAAATTATTTCCATGCACATTTATTTCAACTTAAACATACACCAAATTCCTACAAGTATAAAATTCACAAAATAACTATCATTTCATTAAAATATAATTAAATTCAAAAACACCACTTAAAATATACATGAGCACAAACATTAAATTAATAAAAATTACCTTACAATCCTAATTACTTTAAACTAAATCATTGCTAATAACAATTTTCCCAATAATACCAAATTCGTTTACTTCCACCTTACATTTAGAACAATGCATAAAAATAATATCCTCAAATAATTAAAAATACTAACTTACCTATTCTTCTTCAGAATCTTGATTACGGGTCCGATAAACTTTTCTTTAGTTACGGCCATGGGATCCAAAAATTCACGAACACTGTTTCACACAACACAGAATAAACCAAATACAAAATTTCCAGATTTTTTCCCGATTTCCCCCTTTTTCCGATTAAAGAACCGTAATTCGTCCATTAATATCACATGACATATCCCATGATCTCTCATTTCCCTCACATAAAATAATGCGTAATCGGAACTGAGTACTGCTCACATTATTACCAAAGTCCCAGGTAGTAACCTTTATCGCCTCCAAAATGTCGCCAAACTACAAGTTACCATATTGTAAAGATCAACCAATATGTTCTTTGCATTTGAGCCATAAAATTAAATTTAACAGCAATATCGTAAAATAACTTACTTACAGTAGGCTGAAGGGTACCCCTTGTATTATTGCAAAGTTGTTGCATTTATCACAAAGTTGTTGCTTCGTTTATGGCCAAATTGGTGTTTCATTTATAGTAACCTGTGGCAGTTGAATGTTCTGTAAATATACTTTTACCTAGAATTGGATGCTCCTTCAACTTTTTAAGTGAAAATATATCGATATGTACATGGCCAAAGTCAAGGGAGTGCGCAATGCCAAGTTTGTGCAATTCTCTGATGTTTGTTTAAGTGAAAATAGGTCGATGTGTACATTGATACAAGTCAAAGAATTGCACAAACTTGGTATCCATGTACTGCCAAAAATCGCCAAGGGGTACCAATAATATTAAAATGAGTATATCTTAAGAATTTCTCATACAAAGTCTCATGCACTGGAAATAACATTTCCTCCCCCCCCCATACAGTATTGCCATTGATTGCTTTGAAATCGTTGAGTTTGTTAATCAAAAATTCATTAAAGTTTTACAAAACATGAAATAGATAATAAAACAAATTCGAAATTCGGGCTTCCAGATGCCCATATTTTACTGGAGGACAACTTACTGAAAATTTGATGTCTCCTGGTACTGTTGTTCTGCAAGAAACATAGATACATTCATACAGATTCTTCATTATCTAATTTCTTTAAATATATTGCAGGGCTCTTAATATTTGGTGGCAACATTTGAAAAGTGAACCAATAATTATGGGGAATCAATGCAAAATGCTAAAACAAAATTAATAGCCCTTCTGAGCTGATGCCCTTTGGGCTAAAAAATTAAACTAAACTAAATTTTGAAAAATTAAACTTTACAGGATACATTATATTAAGGAAAATTGTTCATTTTTCCATAGCTAAGCATACCAATAAATTTCTAATACATTTATTTATGTTAACAGACCTATTATTTTACTATTAAGAAAGACTATTTAGAAAATCTTTCTTCTTTCTACATACTTTTATGAAGAGTGCAATTTAATATATAAATAGATAAATACATTACAAAAATGTTATATAAAGAGAACTGTGACCTGTAAAATTAATTCATTTTTATGGAATGAAGAAATATTTAAAAGAAATCTAATTAAGAGAAGCCAAATTGAATGTGATAATCATGCAAACATACTCTGCATACGATTAAGGATAGCTTAAATGCAATATAATCCAATTATTAATACAGATTACCTTTTTCAGTATCACGGTAATGATCATATATGCATTAAATCTCTAAAAGCAAAATTTTGTTCTAAATTTTAAATACTACATGTAACTTTTATTGGTTAATGTTTGGATTATGGTAACTTGGCGATTTTTTGGCGACCTTTTTTACTCAACATTTTTTTCCAACATTCCAACAATCTGCTAGCCGAATTACGCTTATGCTAGAACTTTTATGGAACAAAAGTGCTTAATCATGATGAAGATTAGGGGCGAAATTGGGAGAAAGTGCAGAATCACAAACTGCTTGCCGCGTTTTTAAGAATTGCACTTACGGTATCCATGTACACGTCGACCTATTTTCACTTAAAAAACATCCCAGAATTGCACAAAAATGGCATTGTGCACACTCTTGACTTTATCCATGTACACTGATAACGTCCTAGCTAGTAACCTTCATCGCCTTACCAAAATGTCGCCAAACTACCTGTTACCATATTTCAAAGATTAGCCCTTTTATTTTCTTGATTTTTCACAATGATTATTTGATAATGATCAGTAACAATTGCATTGTTTCATGCAAAGCAATTCTCTACACATATCTGAGTGGTGAATTGCTTTGCATGAAGTTAGCAGTATATTTAATTTTTAAGGAGAGTGTACACTTTGTTGCACACTAAAATATCCTTTTAAAACAACTGATTGATATCATTATTGTAATGAAGTAAAGCAGATTAGCAACTTACTTCAAATTTTTAATACATCAGTTTACTATCCAAATACTCATCCATTAGAATACTATACTTCCTGCAGTGCACAAATATATTATATGAAATTTTCGACTATTAAATAAATTAACAACAAAATTTTGAAAAAAAAAAAAAAAGTGTTTTTAAACAAACTAAAATACAATGTATTTCACTGAAATAACAACCTACACAATACCCCAGTTATAAACTAACATACAAACTCAACAATTTTGGGTTAAAGTGCAGAATCGCCCACTTATTTGTTTGGCGCTTTTTACAAGAGTAAGAAGAATTAGATTTTTGTCTGAAAATAGGTCTACGTGTACACGGATAAAGTCAAGGGAGTGCGCAATGCCATTTTTATGCAATTCTGAGATTTTTTTTTAAGTGAAAAAGTCTATCTGTACATGGATACCGAGTATGAGCAATTCTTAAAAACGCGCAAGCAGTGGGTGATTCTGCACTTTACCCTAATTTTGTTTTAAGTACATCAGCAAATACTTTTTATTTTTAAAATACAAAGTAGAAATATTTATTAACAGGAAAGCGAACATGCTAAAAACGTCGAAGTTAACTAACACGCTGTACAGAACTTGGAGAGTCTTGCACACAACACTGATGCACTGTTTCATAAGTCTTTCTACGCGTAGTGCAAAATGCAACGGTTGGTCTAAAATAAAATGGTATATGGAACAAGTGAATACGATCCAAGCTTTACCTTCCCACTTTAGGTACAGAGCACCCAAGGTCCGTAGAAAGAAAAGGTTAGCTCACTTGGGGTAAACAAACGAAAATGCGTTCTCGCCGTCTATTGGCTGTGACGTCACTGAAGTTCTCTCTCCTCAGATCAACAGAGATTTCCGCATTAAGCTGAACGTAAGCTTATGATCGACTGTGGAAACTCATTAGTTCTTTTTTTTTTTCGTTCTCAAATATAATTAAATTTATATAGTATAATGGTTGGTACACACTGCGCGATTGCATTATGCACCAATAATGCAGGCAAAATAAAAAATAATCAGCAAAATGTATCATTTCATAGGTATAGAAACTTATAGTGTGTTTTGATTTGATTTAATGTTTAAATAGTGGTGATATAAGTTCATTTTGAATTTTCGGGTTACTTAAATTAATTGATTCATTAATATATGTAGAACTTTTATGCATTGTATTAGGTATATTTAAATGCCAACGGTCTTCAATATTGTTGTGAATTGTGACAAATGCATATAAATATAAAGCATTACTTATCAAGTAACAACATTTTTACTACTGAAGCAACTCCCAGCTATGGCTGCATAATGTTGAACAGAAATGTTTAGTGATACATATATCTCCATGGAAGCCATGACCAGGGTCTGAAGTGGCAGACCAGACAGCAGCTAATGAATTATTTAAAAAAAAGTTACATGGGCATACAAGTCCTAGTTTTTATGCATATCATTTTAGATTTTACGATCAGAGTTTTTATGGAGGTAAAAAGCATCAAAACATGTCATATACTGCAAGGAATACAGTATTACATAAGCATATAATTATATAATATCACATACACTTTCAGTAATCCAATGTAAACAAAAATACCATAAGCTTAGAAATGCATAATAAAGAAAACACTATATCATGAATAACAGGGAAATTTAAATCTATGTTAGCTTATTACAATTTGACTAGATCACAAGTTAATGCACTAATTAATGCGACTAGTTAATGCGATACTAAAGATACAGTATCGCATTGATTGAAATTACACTGGTTATAAATGCATCTATGGCTAAAATCAAAATTCACAAAATACAGCGAGTTCAAGGGTGTATAAGTACAAATCTATTAAAGATACACATAGTTTAGTAATCTGCATGTTTTTCCCCGATGCATACAAGGGTGTCCATCGAGAGAATGGAGGCCTTTGTGTATTCCTTTTTAAGAGAAATTGCCTTTTATCCCTATAACACATGAAGAAAAACATGAAAACTCAAATGCAGCCAGCCCATTCATCAGGATATGAACCTGGGTTGACCTACCAGTGTTAGCAAGTTAAATGCTGGGCCACAGTGGGCATTGGTGAGAAATGTTGCACATACTTACAAATACAGTATATGTAATAACACTCCATACATAAAATACCGTATGTACGATTATGTACAATAAATAAGAAAATATCTGATACAATTCCTTCAGTACTCTTATGTGCAAGCATGTTATATTATGCATTGCTTGTAAGTGCAAATAGCATTAATATATAGCATTACTATATATGTACAAACAGCAATATACTAATGCAATTTGTAATATTATAAATACCATTATTATATGTACAGAAACTTTACACTTGAGTTTGAATATATTAAATGCAAGTGATGCTATGTACATAAATGCACTGAGTGTTTAAAAAAAGTAATTGTAAACATTGTGTACCATTAGTATAGTATCAGGTAGTCATAATTCTTTGTGTTTAGACCTTTCTCATTTTATAATAATCAAAGTACACAGTAACATGTAGACTATAGCTATACTTGAGTGTTGTTAAACTGAATGTAAATAAAAATATGTAGAGTAGAGATGTAAATAATATTACATAAAATACACACAGTACCAAATATGCTTAAATAGTTTTAAATTAATGTGTATGTAACTCACTGCATTAACTAACTTTTGTTACACATGGAAAAATGGCCATGCAACCAGCCTTTTCTCCAGGAATTGAAGTCAAACCACCAGTGTTCAGCTGATGGGCCTCTCGTCAATTACTTAGAATTTGAGCCTATTGTACTGTTAATATGGTACATACCAGAAATACAATATCAGTAATACACGGGATACATGTAAGTAATAAGAAGGACTAACAACACCGCAGAGTACAGAAAGCAACATATTAGAAGTCCACAATTCAGTTGGCGAGCAAATTAAGTTGTTGTATTAATTATGCTATAAGTTCTGTTAATAATAGTACATACCAGATATTAAAATTAAAATTATCAGTAATTTAAACACGGGATACATGTAAGTAATAAGAAGGACTAAATGTATAATTTAAGAATATAGAAAAGTTTAAAAAACAAATATGCCAAAATTCTTGTAAAATATAAAATTTCATTTTCCATCTGTACTTATAACTTTGTTATGATTTGTATTATGAATGAATAATGTAACTTAAGCAAATATTTTATTTATTATAGTTTTAAAATATGCATTCCATTGACTATACAGTGCATCATATATTTCATTT